TTGTTAGGCGTAATATGACTCTCTTTTACGGCAGACAGCTGTTAGCTCTCCGGAACGACGTCCATCCGTTTCTGGGGGACTCAGCGGGGGGTGCCACTGTTTGTTTTTTCTTTTCTTGTCTTTTGTATTGCGGCACAATAGCTGAGGTGTTTTCCACCTTCAGCTAACGTGTAATGATGATGACGATGACGGTGACTTTATGGTTGCAAACTAGGCACGCAGTCCACTCGGCCACCGGCCGACTTGGGTTGTTCCTATTCAAGCGGCATCTCGTAATTTCTCTAAGTTCTTTCTGGGTCAATATCGATATGCAAGTTGATGGAGTCTTTTGTTGAGAACCACGCTTTTAGGAACTCTCTTTCGCTTTGTGTTTCTCCTTGTGCCAGGACTTTTGTTTTGGCCCAATCGAAGCTGTTCTTTTTCGTCCACGTGTGCTGAGACTAGCGATGATGCACAGCGCCTTATGTATGCTCCTTTTTTGCTCGTGTATTCGTGTTGTCAATTTTCTACCTGTTTGGCCAACATGGTCTTTTTTGCAATTTCTACAAACTAGTCTGTATACAACATTACGTTGCCCATGAGCTTCTAGTTTTGCTTTCGGTTTTGACAGAGCTTCCCTCGAAATGTGCCAGGTGAAGACACGTGACCATTGACAGCACTGCACTACTAAATCGATTAATAACCAGTTCAAAACGACAAACGCGTGGGAAGTTATCATCAAGCGCGAGCATGCGATTTGGGAGGGGTACTCTGGGGAACGTATTCCTTTTCCTGGCATTTATTGCGTGCTACTGGGTTTTCAACTTCTGCGATGGTATTGAGAGAATGTACGTATATTATCCATTGAGTTGGACTGCAAGCCGACGTCTGTTTGGTTTCCCTCCTCATTTCCGCTACTTTCACCTGCCCACATTTGCTGACTGGTACGTCGATGACCCCACGTGGTTGGCGTGGAAAAAAATTAGCACTGCCAATTATGAAGTACCACTTTACGTGCAGGAAGGACGCTGGATACCAAACGCGTTCAAGTAAGTATTGACGTTTTTAGTTTCGTGGGGAACGGTGCTGTTCTCATCGCGGTATTCTCACAAAAACTTAAATGACTTGAACGAAAATCGAGATGGTGAGGGATTTCAAAACCCTCTCTGAATAAATAAATAAATAAATAAATAACTTGTATATTTACCGACGGACGGTACACGGCCCCATAAGTGGGAGCGATCATTTGTATAGTGAACACGTTTCATAACATTAAATAAAAGTTTACTGATAGCATTTCGGATCATGATTACTTTTCCTTGAGTCCTAGACCCGCGCAACTCATATGTAAAATTTACGGATGTTTGTATCGTCAGGAGTAGATAATAAACGAAGGGACTATTAGGCTGCAAAGACACAGGATTTGGTATGGTATGTAATGACATGTAGTGGGTAAGCTAGCTGTAAGCTATTATCAAATGTTTTTTATACCAACTTCTGTCAGTGCATATGAAGAGGACAATATTATGTCACCCAACCAGGCGGAGGTCGAGTACATGTCTTAGCAAGTACTGTTCTATCGGCCCGTTTGGGATGACAGCATATATGCCAGTAGCAGCCATCACATCTACATCGTTAGCGATGGGAACTGTGGGCTCGAGAGACTGCTTACGGTCTGTACAGGCTATCGAGAGCGGAACGCCATGTTGACCTTTCACCGGTAGACCTTGACTGCGCAACATTGTTCGTATACACTGGGACGTACGTATCGGCTGGGGTTAATGTGGCACATAAGTTCTAAGCTTGCAAGCAATGTGAATGTGACGGAGTTAAGGGACGCTGTAATCGGCCCATATAAAGTCATCCTTATAATGGTTAAAGGGTTAAAAAAGAAAACAGAAGCTGAATAATCCTGACCCACCTCGGGTGTCGTGGGGAACTTATGACACTTTCGTATGCAGTTGCGCAGTCCGTACACCAGCAGTCGAAAGACAATCGGGTGGAAATACAGTCAAGCGACGCGTCATTCAAGGGCGCACTCGACTCAGTCAGCAATGACATTTAACTCGGGACCTATCGCCGTTGCAAACAGTCTGTCTGCGCAATCTATAAACACAGTCGCAGTTCACCTTTAGAAACCACGGATAAATTCGATCATGTCAAATATCACCATCGTGACGAGACTGGACCTTAATATGGCGCGCGTTTTGAAAGTTTGGAAAAGCTCCCTCTTAAAATTTCTACCTTCAAAGTTGGCTTGGAAGCGTATGCTAAAGAGACTGCGTGAGAAATCTTTACTCTGCTCCTTCAAATATTGATCCAGGATATCTTGGATCTTCGTTAACCGCGAGTCCGTTCCAGTATCGCTTCTCTTTGTGTTCCTTTTGATCGTACTAATTCACTGTTTATTGGTTTAGTTAATATTGTATATTCTATTGTATGAACTTGTTGTGACTATTTACTCATCTTACGCCCTCAAACCTGCATCAATTTGGCCACTTAATCCTACCAGACTACCTAGCTTTTTATTATTTTATACGGGGCTGTTACGTACTATTTGTAATGACATCGGTGGCTGGCTATAAATGTGGTGAGCACACTTGTGGCGTTGAGGTCAGAGGGAATTCAGTGGCGACAGATGCTTGTTATGGTACCGTAACAATTGCTCGAGATTAGACCAGGACTCTATTGATCTTTATCCCTGACATCCCCAATTAAAGCAGATTTGCTTCCACTGTGTAAGCTTACCAGACATTTGTTCTCGCTTGATACACGATCGTGCTTTTGATCCAGTTACTCATGTTTCAGCTGTGCATGATTCTGCTAGTAGGAACTGTGTGCATAGACTAGACATTGCGAAAAAGTTGATTCGTGACCAGAGCTTGCTAATTGAGACATTGCGTACAAAAGTCAATGAGTTGCAGTCTTCATTGGAATGTTACTTGCGAAGTGCAGATCTTGTTATGGGTAGACAACGAAACATCCTTATCTACAATAGCGAGGAGCCAGTCATACGGGAAGCTAAAACTCGACGGGACCTAGATAGAAAACGAGTGCACGATATTCTTGGCATAGCCGAAATACTGTTATACGTCGGTATCAAAAGAGTACATCATGTTGGCAGCTGGAGAGAAACAGGTATGCTTCGCCAACAAGGTTATGCAAGGCCTATCCTGGTTGAGTTTAGGAACCCTGTACACCGGGACCTACTTAACAGGGCTGGGTTGGTTGCAAGTCAGACAAATGGTCGGTATCAAATAGCACCGGACACACTAACTTCGAAGGCTAAAGCCCCTCGGCTGAGCTGGTTAGAAGGTACTAATACCAGCTTGGCTAACGAATCTGCGGTCTCACACGCTGGAATTCGCGATAGTGAGCCTCACGTTACGCAGACACTCAAGCAAAACTCTGGCGAATGCTCTCCTGTGGCAAGGGCAGTCAGCTGGTCTGGACAACACCCTTCACAAGACGCCAGTGAGGTGACTCGTGGCCTGCATTTGGTTGTGGAGAAACTTGCTCTTGATGGAAATGCGAATCACCCCCCTATGGCGGAAGTGGGTAGTGATGATGTGACGATGGAACTTCGGGCGGTGCGTTCAAAAACAATCGAGGCCTCATGCTCGATAGTAGTGGCACCAAAGTCCATGGTTGGTATGCCCATTTCACCAAATGGTAGGAAAAATGAACAACTTGCCACACCTAAACTGGATCGTACAGAAAATCCGAAGTGCAGTGCTGTTAGGCCGACTCAGGTAAATGGGAGAAAACCCATTGGAAGTTTATCCAGCAAGCCCAGGCGGGCGAAGCCAGGAAAGGGATTATCCCGTAATGCGTTACAGCGGCCCAGCGTTGGTTCATCGATTCAAGCAGCCGATGGAAATGAAATGGTACAAAAATACGGGTTATCCACTCGGGCGTAGGGCCCGAGGGGAACAACCGCGTCCGGAGAGACTAAGCGTGTGGTACACTAATTGCTGTAGTGTGCGTAACGAATGGGGAGAGTTAGTGACGCGTTGTGAGCATGTTGATTTGGCCGCTGTGTCGGAGTCCTGGCTTTCTCCAGATGACCTTATTGGTGATCTGCTTATGGACTTCGCGTGCTACAGGGCTGACAGGCCCGGGTATCAGATTTGTGGAGGAGTACTCTTGCCTATAAAGTGCCAATATAAACACTGGGAGGCTCCATTTACCATGAGTTCTGCTAACGTTCAGGTGGTATCCTGCTACCTAAGAGCATGGGGTAGACTTGAAATTATAGTATGTGTTTATCGTAGCCCATCCTCCACGCGAGAAGAGGACAGGGATCTTGGTACGTTACTAAGACAGGCGACAATGGCCGCACCTAATTTTCTGATCGTCGGTGACCTAAACCTTCCCCATGCTGATTGACAGCTTGCTGAAAACAGGTGGGTACTCTGGAGAGAGAACTAGTAGATTGGATGCATGTAAATCCGTTCGAGCAATACGTCAATGTTCCGACTAGGAGTCCTACTGGGAGTACCCCTTCAACCCTTGATATCGTGATCGCCAGACATGGTCACTTGATAACCTATGCATGAAGCCAACTATAGGTAAGAGTGATCATTGTGTTTTGACCTTTTCTCTGGACACACCGAGGCTTACAGAGAACCGTCGAATGAGAAGGGATTTAAATCGTATTGATTTTAGGAAGATGCGGGATCGAGCCCTTCAAATCACTTGGATCTCTGAACAGGACCAGACCAGTTTGGAACAGAGATGGCTTCTACTTAAAAATGGACTTGTACATTTACTGAAGGAATTTGCTCCTCTGTTCCCCAGGAGACACCTTGGGAAACCCCGATGGTGGAGGAGAAAGATTGATAAAGCAAAATACAGGCGCAATGCTGAGTGGAGATAATATCAAGAGACTCGGGGTTTCCGACGTTGGCTGCAATACAAAAGGTGTCGAAACATGGCTATTAAGTTGCAGCGGCAGGCGAAGTACTCATATGAGCTTAGGTTGGCCAAATTTGCAAAAACAAATCCTGTGTTATTACAGTTATGTCCAATCAAAAGCTTCTCTAAGAGAGGTTGTCGGTTGTCTAACCATGGAGGACGGTACCCAGGCCGTGGATGACGTTGATAAGGTAGAAGGGCTGCTACGTGTCTACCAAAACTTGCATCGAGAGGATAGTGGGTCAGGTTTGCCATCACAGCCGCACTGCTCAACTAGCTATACAATGCGGGAAATTATTTTCAATGTGCCAGAGGTTTTCACAGTGCTGGCCAGTTTGAACCTTTATAAATCAGCTGGTCCTGATAGCGTACATCCCGCCATAGTTAAGCCACTGGCTGATATCCTTCAGTATCCTGTAGCGGAGTTATTCAAACAGTCTCTTCAAGAAGGCAAGCTGCCAAGTGATTGGAAGGAGGCGACTATTGTTGCCATCCACAAGGGGTGGTTCTAAGTGGGTGCCAGTTAACTACAGACCTGTTAGTTTGACCAGCATCATGCTGAAATGCTTGGAAAAGCTTACAACAAATAGGATCTGTGAGCACTTGACTGAGCACAACCTAATTAGAGCAGAACAGCACGGCTTTCTTAAAAAGAACTCTTACCAATTTATTGTGCTTTTTAGACGCGATTACCCGATGTTTTGATAGTGGGATGTCGGTAGAGGTGTGCCATTTGGACTTCAGCAAAACCTTTGACTCAGTGAAGCATCGATTTTTAATTGAGAATCTGACATAGTTTGGATTATATCCTCAACTATTACTGTGGCTCTCTGAATTCTTACGTGGAAGGACATTCAGAGTCAGGGTTGGGGAAGCGAGTTCTAGTGTTGGCCATGCCTACAGCGGTGTCCCACAAGGTTCGATACTGGGTCCATTGTTGTTTCTTATGTTTATAAATGACTGCATCCTCTTCTTGAGGAGCCCTGCTATATCTTCGCAGATGACTTGAAGCTAGTCAGTAGGGGAAACCGAGCGACATTGGCTAAGGACATCATCACTGTGGTGAATTGGTCGAGCCAATGGGGTCTACCTTTGAATGCTAATAAATGTCAACTATTGACTAATAGTGGCA